CAAGGACGGGGGTGAGATGTTTCATGCAAGGGAGGGTGGGGGACACTTTGGGCGCACTTGGATAGAAGGAGGGGTTTACCAGATCATGCATCTTTGGAATCACAGCAAGGAGGACTGGCTCTCTGGGGATGAATTGAGGCAGAAGTTGCCTAGGAGGAGACAGGTCTTTGAGAATTTGGAGAAGATCACCCAGGCGGTTCCTCGTCATTGGAGAATTCTGATGAAAATTTCAACAGAACTGGGGGAAGGATCTTGGATTCGCTCTGAGGCTGATCTTAACAGATATTGGAAGGTTTTGGGGCCGGACCTGACGGGGGGAATAAAAGTGGAGGAATGGGACTTGGGCAGCATGATGACAGCTAAGGGTAGTCTAAGGAAAAATCGGGAATTGGTAATCCAGACTACTGTGGGTTTGAGTGAAGCCAGCGTGCTACAAGGGGATAGGTCCTGCCTTCTGTTAGGCATGGGGGAGGACCTCAGAGTGGAACCGATGCTGTACAAGTGGTGCTGGACTCTGAGGATGCAGAAAAGCAGACCACTACCTTTTTATTTCAATACAAGCCCAGAGTTGGAGTGAGCATACTCCATCAACGGTCTTCTGTGTCACCACTGGCCCTGGCTACTAGACGTTTCAGAAACTTTAAGTTGAAAGGACCAGATAGCCAGGTGCCTCTTGCCATGTGGAGAACCCTTCTTCTCAGAAAAATGCCAGTTTACAGTGGATGCAATCTTTAGTGGTGATTCCCACTGCCCTCTGGCTTTCTCAGAAGGGAGTGGATATATCCCAGACCTGTACTTGCTGCCAATGGGGTTGGGAGTCTTATGCTCATGTGTGGACATGCTGTCCTTTGGCAGATGAACTGTGGATGTGGTGGTTTGAGCATTGGCATCAAATGGCAGGGAACACCTTTGAGTGGAATGATGATTGGATTCTTTATTGCCTCCTCCCTAATTCAGCCTTGAAATATTCAGAAGGAGTGGGTTATCAGGCTCTAGTCTGTAGGGGCATAATATGTTATGAAATTTGGAAAGCAAGAAATGCCTGTGTGTTCAGCGGAGAGAAAGTGTCTGTGTTTCAACAACAGCAGCAGGTTCGAACCAATCTTAAATTGATGATTATTTCGGATTGGAGGAGCTGTAAGAGGCGGAAGGGTCGCTCCAGGTTGTGGTTTTCCAAGACATGGACACCTAATAACTACTTGGCAAAGATCTCAAATGAGGGAAAACTAGTTTTATCTCCCTGGCTGAAGCCGCTCTAGTGTTGTCCAAATGGGTTGCTGGTTTGGACCCGGGGAAAGATTCAGACAAGATACTAAGGTTCACATCATGTTCTGCCTGGTAATGTACTCTGTTTTTAATATAGCTGCCAGGCATTAAGGGCTAGCCCTGTGAGGGAATTCCCTTGGGTTTTAGCCCAACCTTTTTTCTGTGCTTCATGTTCTAATTTTTTGGAAAGCAGCTAAGACTGGGATGCTGGACCCGGTTTCCAGCTGGTAGAAGAGGCCTTCAAGATAGACATATGATCTTCGAGCTGGGCTCGTAAGCAAAACTGGCGAAGGCTGCCAGGATAACACCGGGTGGATTTGTGAGGTCCCCGGCCTCGTCCCAATTATTTTGGAAATAAAAGGGTAAGCTTTCCTAAAAAAAAAAAAAAAAAAAGCATGGCCCC